GGCCCTGGTTCCGCGGCTGGCCCCGCCCCCGAGGCCTCCTATTGGGCGGGCGAGGGCGTCCGCCTCACGCCGCCTGCCTATTGGCGCGCGCGTGCGGACGCCGCGCCCCATTGGTCTGTTCCGATTTGGGCACCAAATTCAAAGATTTTAAAAGTACCAGCTGGCGCCTTTTAAGAGCTACAGCTCGGCGCGACGGCCGGTCGCCTCTTCCCCTGCGGTCGCCGCCACCTCACCTGCGTCGGAGCCCGCGTTCCCCGGCATGAGCCGGCGCGTTTGCAGCGGTCGGCCCCGGCCGTCCTCCTGCCCCTGCGGCCTCGGCGCGCGGACGGTCGCGGACGGTGAGTGTGAGGCGGGCATTGGAGGGGTTCCCGACTCGGTGGCCGCAGCCTCAGCCCGGGTGCATGTGCAGATCACGGGGTCCCGGGCCTCGGGTGGCTTTCCAGGCCCGGGGCAGGAAAGGAGGGGACTGGGGCCGCGGAGGAGAGCCAGTCGGCTGGTGCAGAATGGGACAGTTGTGGTCTGCCTGGCACGGGGGTCCCACCATCCCATCCCACCCAGGTATCCCGCTCCGAGGACGTGCAGGTGGTGGCGTCTGCGCGCGGGATTCCACCCCAGCCCCTCTGCCTGGGCGCCAAATGCCCCCCTCTCCCCTCCCCCACCCCTGCCCGAGCTGTGACTGGGCTCTGGGCTTCCAGCCTGGCCAGATGCCTCTTCCCCAGCCCCTACACCCCCTTCTCACACTTGTTAAGCTCCCTCCCGTCCCAACTCAGTTTCCCAAACTTTTCTCCCTCAGCGTCCTGGCCGGAGAGCGCGGGAGATTGCGCTCGGCGCTTATCTCCCGCCCTCCCTCGTGCACCGCGCCCTCGGGGCACCTCCCATCACCGACCCCTCAGCACTTCTAGGGGCTCCTGCCCTGCTCCCGCCAAATGTAGAGACCCCCCCCCCTCTGCCCACCGTACCAAACTCAATGGAAAAAGATTTATTTTCTCCTCTTTTTGCCTCTTTTCTCAATCTCAAGTCCTGGAGCCCCCGGGAGGGTTTTGAAAAGCGCCTCCCACCCCCCAAAAAAAAGAAAAGAAAAAAAAATCCAAAACCATCAATTTGCCTCTAGTGTTTATTTAATGGTGAAAGTCGAGTAGTTTACTTTTTTTTCCCCTCTGAATTGAGGAGTTAGTGATCACTTGCTTCAAAGCCTGAATCAAGGTTCAGCAAACTCAGTTACATATATATTTAAAATATATCTTTGTTGGACCCTCAGTGAAAGACAATCATCTATTTTATCCTAGAAATTTTCGAAACTGGAGGAAAAAAGCAATTCTTTGATCTTCCTTCATCAGAACAGGAATTAAGTCTTGAGGGGTAGAAGCCTCTAGCTTAGCAGACTGTATTTGTAAAAGACCCTGAATCCTAAGTCAATCTTAAAAGTCGGAAATGTAATCGTTTTACGAGGGAATTTTTTTTTTTTTTTTTTTGCTCAACTTTCTTCCTCAGGAAATACGTGCTGCCTCCGAGTCCCCTCCCCGACTTAGTCTACAGCTTTGAAGAAATTTTTAAAAAATTAATTAGTACATTTAAATGATTTTCCAAGGAGGCTTAAAGGTTTTCTCATGAGAATTATACTTTAGGTCACTGAAATTTCCTCAGGCTTTAAGCGGAGAAATGAATGTGCTTAGCCTTGGCCGCATGCTTGGGGACTGAGACTGAAGGTTGGTTAACATATGGAAGAGCTAGAAAGACTTTAACGACAGTTTTAATTACAGCGTTTGATATGGAATGTAAGGTGGGGATTTATAAGTTGAAAGAAAGGTCAGACCGGGTGCACTTTATAACTCTCAAGCCTTCTCCCTTCCCCCACCCCAGTGATTGGCCTGAGCAGTGGTAATGTGAGTTCGAAACATTGAAATGTCTGAGTTTTATCTGTAGGTTCGTTTTAAGAAAAACCAAAAAATATCCTAGCGAAATAAACTGGTTGGAAAGTTCAGCAGAGAGCTTTTTTATTTGAACTTTGGCTTCCTGAATTTGTGCTTGTGTGGAATTTATCTTGATTTGCAGTGTAAGAAATGTGAGAGCTTGGCATAATGTGAGCAATGTGATAGAGATGCTATTGATTAGATCGTGCATTTAATCTTTCCATTTTGTGGTTGGGAAAACTAAGGCTGTAAGAGTTATCTTTTTGTCATTTTCTCCAGACTTAGTAAATGGTACTCTTTAGGTTAATTGCTAGAGTCTTTAACCATAGGATTTTTTTTTATTCTACTTAACAGTACATATCCTGTGCATTAGTTAATTGGGGTCATTGGCCTAAGTTTCTACTGCAGTTGTAAACCCTGGTTCCCTTGAGACTCTTGTGAACACCTCTAACCTTGATTTCACATACTTACCTGTAATCCACCATTGCCACTGAGTGATCCGTGACCTTTTCAAATTTGGAGCCAAATTTCGTTCTGTTTAGAAAAATATAAAGATTTGGTAACTCCTGAAGATCACACCTAATACCTAACTTGCCCCTTAATCTATCATAAGTGGGTATCAGATAAATGAAATGGCAAAAAAAATGCCCCCACATATTTGATTGGGGGAGGTATGGAATCAGGTAATCTGCCTTTATGTGTGATTGATTACATAAACAATATAAAGTATTTCTTATTGTTAAGGAGCATTTACTTTGACCTTTGGGAAGTTCTTGCCCAAGATGGATTTAGCTATTTTATATACCAAATTTTTGTCTTCTGATACTTTCTTTAATTTAGAAAACAAAAAAAAGAGAATCCTGTAGTCTGGAAAAGTTAACCCCCCCCACCCTTCTTAAAAAAGGAAATGATGTCAACATGTGAAATGCAGTTCCAAGCCAGCTGGAAAAGCTCATGAGAGCAAAACTTAGAACAGTTTGAGGCAAAAGTGAACATCCCTGGACTAGGTTTGGTGCCAACGCTGTTGATTACAGTGTTCTTGTCCTGCAAGTCCCACTCACATGAGCACATGCATTAGGCAGATCTCAGGTCAGAGGCACTGGCTGAGGGAAGGGATGAAACTGCCATAGCCATAGCTGAAGATCATGTGCTTTTCACCAGCTTGCCACCTGTGCCCAGTCAGAGCCACATAGAGATAGAAGAAAACCGACTGCATAGAGTTGCCCTGACCACATGTACACCATGGCCCATGCATGCCGACACAAGAGAATAGGGAGAGGAGACTTAGTGCAAAGGAAGCCTATAGAACTAATGATAGCTAGATGGGATGTGGTGTCCTGGAACAGTGGGAAAAAGCTAAAGAACCATGCAACCATAGGTTTTAGTTAATAGTTTTGGCTTAATCTGTTAATTGGGACACACACACTGTGGTAATGCAACCTGTTCATTTCTGTTAGTGAGTATGTAAGGACTGATATTTGGTGTCAAGCCCTGGGTTTAGTCCCTATCAGGGAGGAGAGGACCATGTTAGTACAAAAGTGATCTTTATTCTGTTTCGTGTGTTCTTTTCATAGGTTGTAAAGAAGAAAGTCCTGTTCTTTCTGTTAAAATGAAGTGTTTTAATTGCAACCCTGATCTTTCTGAACTTGAAGTGGTAAAACCTGAGGAGAGTGGGAGACAAGTTTCCTACAATCCTGTGTGTTTGGAGCCTTCCTGCAAGGACTGCTTTAGAAACCAGGAAAGGTTATCTTTCATTGAGTCACCAATTGTGGGACCTGATAACAACAAGGAAAATCAGCGTGTACAAAAACTACTCAATAGTTCAAGTGAAATAGAGGAGCTGGAGGCCAGCAGACTGTATGAAGACAGTGGCTATTCGTCATTTACACATCAGAGTGAACAGGAGGATGGCATCCTTATCCTGGAGAATTTCAGAAACAGTACCCAGCCCCGACTGCTGCAGTCACAGAGCCCAGACCAGTACCCCAACAAACACCTGCTGCCTGTCCTGCATTTTGAAAGAGTGGTTTGCTCAACATTAAAAAAGAATTCCAAGCGAAACCCGAAAGTGGATCGAGAAATGCTGAAGGAAGTTATCGCCAGTGGGAACTTTAGACTACAGAATATAATTGGCAAGAAAATGGGTCTGGAACACCTAGATATCCTCACCGAGCTCTCCCGGAGGGGATTTAAACACCTTTTAGCTAATATTTTGACAAAGCTCAGCGGCATGGACTTAATAAAGTGAGTGTGTTGCACACTGCATGTGTGAGATAACCTGGGACCCACTTGTACAGATGAGTGTAAATCAGTGCTGACTTGTGTTTGATTGATGGCATTTGAAATGAAAGGAAACATAGGAAATATGCATCTAGTCTGGTTACTTTGAATTTTGTAGTCTTGGTAGTAGAAGGATGCATTCTATACTGAATCCTCTGACTGGCCGAAGTGAAACAGGGTGGATGTGGTGGTTTCTATTATTGGCTGGTTTCTGTAATCAACATTGTGGAGTGTGCCATCTAAGTTAGTATAACGGTTTTCAAAATCGATTACAAGCAGCCTAGAGGAAGGTGGAGGTGTGCACATTGTACTAGTATGTAAT